TTTTTAACATCTTTCTCAATGCATTTTTAGATGCAGATAATGAGCTCTGCATTGGCGCAGAGCGCACCCGGTATGTTCCACGTTTTGAGTAGGGTGCAAATACTTGCAAATAATCATGTCTAACCAAAATTTGGTTGTGTTAGTGGTTTTTGTGTCCCGGTTCTCGATTTGGCCATCGCCAAACTTACCGCGTGAAATGTAGTTTTTCTTGAATTTAATAAACGTAAAAATAATTGCCTACTTTTAAGAGCTAACAATATTATTGATTTTGTACTGTCCGAAGAGGTGCTTTATTTTTTATTTGTAATTTTTGAAACTTTTAAAAATAATAATTTTTTAATTTCTAATTTTAATTTCTACTATTGAATGATTTATCCCAAAATAAATTGAATGAAGAAGATAAATATTTAAATCTAGAAAGGAGAAAGGATTTAATAAGGATTACTGAAAAGAATCATCATCTACAACATCTACGAGCAACGGTTCTATGAGCAATGATCCAAACAGGTGTGACCTAAACTAATGTTATCAAAAAATATATTACATATATATTACTTATAAATATTTGAGTAATACTTAACTATTTTAATTACATTTTATATATATAAAAAATATCATAATTTTCGGATATTATTGGACACATCCATGTCAAAGGTGCACCTGGATCTGTACCGTCATTAAAAACGTCCATGAAACTTTGCAACTCGTAGAGCAGGACCGATGAGTGAATTGTCACGAGATAGCGGAGGCACTAAATATCAACCACATGACAGTTTGCAGTGAGCAGGCTGCCCAAAACCTCCTAACGTTTGGGTACCACATTAATTAACGGAAAGAAATTTGATTAAACGCATTACCAACAGTACAAAGCTCTTGAAAATCAACGAAATCGAAATATTTTTGAAGCGAGTCATTAAATGTAATGAAAAATGGATCACATACGATAATAAACGAGTGATCATTATCGAACCGCAAACAACTTTAAAGCCTGGTTTGACAGCAAACCAGGTTAAGTTGACTATTTTGTGGAATTGGAAGGAAATTGTTTATTACTAAATGCTTCAGAGTAGTTCAATGGTAAATTCAGTCCATTATGGTATTGCTCATAATTCAAGCACTTGACCAAAAAAATAAGGACAAGTAATCAGAATTGTCCAAAAATAAGGAATTGTATTTCATTATAATAATGCTAGGCCACAGATATCTTTAATGACTCAAAAAAATAAATTAATGAAACTTTGTTGGGAAGTTTAGATGAATCCAAGATATATACCCGTCTTTGGATTGTCTGACTGCCATTTTTTCGATCGCTGGTCAAAAATTTATCAACCGAAGAGTTGCTGAAAATCAATTGGCCAAGTTTTTCACCGATAAAAAATTATAAAGATAAGTACCACTAATAACCAAGGGGCTTCCATTTTACTACTGAGACATTTTAGAGAACGCCTAGTGTGAACAAAAAATAAAAATATAACATGGGTCAATTATTAGTTATAAATTATATTTCTGCACTTCAGATTTGGCAAGGGATGGGTTTCAGATCTTGGTACTGGCAATAAAAAAATAACTATTTACAAATAATTTAATCCAAGAAATATTTCTAAAGACTACTGGAGATGGATATATGACAATTATCTAAATAACCATACAGCCAAAAATTAAACTAATTAAAAGCAAAAAACTTTGTTGTCGTTTTTCACTATTCCTTAGACCAGTGAATATATAGACCACTTCAATTACATATTTCAGACGTAAAATTTCAAATAATGTGCCATGTTTTAGCACTTAACTATTCTTACCTACAGATGTAACTTTTTGTTGTAAGTGGTACAGAATTGCTTTGTTGTAGCATTATAATATTATTAGTACTGTTTACCAATTATATAAGTATTAGATTATATTGATTGGATTGAAACAATTTTTTGATATACTTTATTACTATATTGAGCTTAAGCTTTTAGGTGCCTCCATCCGCTATTGACAGCATTATCATTAGACAGACATTAGAATTTACCAATGCTTCCGGTTGGTTTTAATATAACCATTATTTTATCAGCTATTATAAAAAATAGTGGAACTAAAACGGATATCTTAGATAATTGAGGAAGATTTGTTTCTCCCTCCACTTTACCTTACATAAGCTATGGCCACTTCTTGGCTTCAGAAAACTTCAATTAAATCGGATTGAATTTGTAAAGACGCATTATACATTATTATAAAACTTTACAACATCTAAATACTTATTCCCGCAATTGAATATTTAAAGTCGACCATTGAAAAAAATTATTAAAAATAATTGTAATAATTTAAAAGATGGAAAGGCTCAACAATATGAGGATGGGTATCTACATTGTGACCGAAAAGCTTTCGGAAATTCTCATTTAAAATTCGCGCGCTGTATATTTTTCGATATTTTAAGTTTATGTAGTTTGGCAGCACTGTCCTTAATTACTATGCCAAAAATGAGCGCGATCTGTCGGACAGTTCGTTTACGGCAGCTGTTGAAACCAGTTCACCTCAGTAGTGCGTTGCGAAAAAAACAATGGAAAAAAATATTGAACAAAGAGTTTGCATCAAATTTTGTTTTTCGAACGAAATTTCGTGTGCAGAATCGTTGCGAATGCTACAAAAGGCTTATGGGGAATCAGTTTTATCGAAAACTCAAGTTTATGAGTGGTACAAAGCCTTTCAGGACTGTCGTACGACCGTCGAAGACATGCCGCGTTCTGGACGACCTTCGACCTCTACCACCGACGAAAACATTGAAAAGGCAAAGGAAATCGTGTTCAAAAATCCTCATGTGAGTGTTAGAGAGATAGCACGAGAGCTAGGCATCGGTCGTGAGATGGCTCGTTTGATTTTGGTGGACAATTTGTGTATGCGACGTGTCAACGCCCGGCTTGTTCCGATTCACCTCAATTTGTTCAACATTATCAACGATTTTAAGGCCAAACATTCAATAAATACCATCGAACAGCCACCGTATTCACCTGATCTTGCACCGTGTGACTTTTTCCTGTTTCCCAACCTCAAATTACCACTCAGAGGAACGCGTTTTGAATCCATAGAAGACGTAAAACAGAATTCGCAGAGGGAACTCAAAGCCATACCGGAAAGCGCCTATAAAAAATGTTTTGATGATTGGAAGAAACGTTGGCATTTGTGTATCGCTTCTAATGGAGCATATTTTGAAGGAGATAAAATAAATATTGATGAAGATTAAGAATTTTGCGTTTTATTTAAAATTTTCCGGAAACTTTTCGGTCACAATGTATATGCAAGTGGGCCACGTTCAATTAAGATAAAATTTAGCATATCATTGATGGGTATAGTTTGCGGAAGCATATTAAAAGATTAAATCTCCCGTTTAATCACTCCTATGGAAATTGTAGGAAGGAAGATGAAAGCGCTTCACATCTTCTTTGTTATTGTTTAGTGTTATTACACGGCATCGATTGAATATAGGCCCCTAATATTTTTAATAATGTTGGTCAGCTTCAGGAGGTGCATTTAAACAAGATTTTAGACTTTTCAAAAGACTTGCTAAAGGTGATTTTGACAATGAGCTGTCAAAAAGGTGACAATGAGCTGTTATACTGTAACACAATAAGTCAATAGGCCTAGTTTCATACTTTGGCACGATTACATTTGTAACAAGGTATTAAAGCACTGAAGCATTGAAAGTTTGTGCAGCCTTAGCTACATATGGACAAGCCTATCGCTTCTAATTTGTCAGGCGCGAGTTCTTAGCCTGGCACTTGCAGTCCAAGCAAATTATATAAGGACTATAAACTAATTAAAAAGAAATTCGAATATTTCTTAAGACTACTGATGATGAGTACTTGAAAATACCCGAAACAGAGTTGTATGGTCAGTCAAATTTCAATGAATTAATTAAATTTTTGTTGTTGTCTTTTCTTTTCTATTCGAACCATTTTAACTTTATAGAAAAGTTGCTTGTTTGTCGTCATAAGAAGCGTAGCTTTAGGCAAAAATAATTCACTTCAAAAATAGGGTATTATTTTTTTTTATATTTGAAAATTTGATCATAACTTTTAAATTTAATAACATTTGTTGCAATCAAATTTTACAAAGATTTGAAGTCGGCCCATTAAAAAAAAAAATGAAATATGACTATACTTTCATACTCAAAGCTCTGATTTTTTGAAGATTGTATTTAAAAGTATTGTTAATAAAATAGAAATACAATTGTCATTTTGATCTATTTACTTCTCCGTCAGGTCTAAAACTTTTCAAACACCCCAAGTATTGCATTTTGTATTGCTCCAGACCTGTTGCACCCGTTAAATCGTATCTAATATTATGTGGTTTTACGTGTCGTACAATATCTATAGTAAAAAACAACCGATAAAGAAGTGTGAGTTTCTAATTTTTATAAACTACAATCAGATATTTTTGTTTACATGCTTATCTCTTATTATCAATTAAGATTTAAATTTATAGCAAAGCTATCCACAATTAAGTCCACGTCTATTTTGATAAAATAGTGAAAATAGAGTTTTCACAATTTAGTGTTGGCGTTGCAAGTTCATTAAAAAATTATTGGATGTATGCCTATTGGACCACATACACATAGGACTTGTACAATATAACAAGATCTTATGATATATGGACTTACAGTACATATCGATTGAAAGAACAACAATCTATATTTCTCTATGATTAACTCAAAGTACTTCATTTAAAAATAATTGGTTGTATGCCTATTGGGCCATATACACATAGACCTTACACAATATGACAAGATTTTATGAAATATAGATTTAGAGAGCATTTCGATTGAAAGAACAACGTTCAATATTGCTCTACCTATGATTAACTCAAAGTAACCAAAAATAATAAACATTTGAAAAAAAATTAAAAGTATTTTTTTAAAAATTAATAACTATCTTCCATAACAGAGAAAGCACACAAAAGCACATACCGAGCAATACAAAGGCAAACGTCTCAATGGCAATACAGACGATAAAACCCGCAGTGAAACGTTTTTCCAGCTTTAGTTTCACAGACGAACCCTAGCAGGACGGACGTGTTTAAAGCGCGGTTAAACCAAAACAAATAAAATGAAATTATCTGTAAGTTTTTTTTTTCTGGAACGGCAAAATGGGAATTCATAATTAAATTTTTATCTTATCAGATACAATAAAGAATTTTTAACGGAAAATCGATACGCGTTATTAACATTTTTTTTTTGTTTATATACATTTTTTTTTAATTAAACATCAAATTTTAAATTTTTATTTTAGTTAATTTTTGTTGGAATATTTTTTGTGGCTCTTGTCGGTTTCGCCCAAGCCAATAAATCGATTGCACCAGAAGATCTGAAGAAGCATCATGAACTGAAAGCCCAACATAACACACATGGTAGAGTACTTGCCAAGCGTGAACACAAGGGTGATGCAGTGCCACATAATAAGATCAGACATAAGAAGGAGTCAACCTTATTGCACTTACAACATCACCACCAGGATGAATCAGAGCGGAAGCACAGGAACGTGAATGGTGAGAAGCACACACGCAAGGCACGTCACAACAAATCTAAGCAAATTGTCGACAAATTCAATGGACATGAAACCAGTCTCAAGCGAAAACATAAGAAACATTTTTAAAAACTTAAAAGGAATTTAATAAAACAAGTGAATATATAAGAATAATAACAATATTTATAAAATATGATATATAATTAAATTTAAAAAATAAATATAATAAATAAGAAAAATATATTTTATTTGAAATACTATATTCGGCAGTTAATAATCGTCCCGTAATTGTTAGACAGATAAAATCTGATTTCGTTCCTAAAAATTGAGAAACTTTGAAAAAATAATGATAAAAGCATAATAATGAAAAATAAATAATTTAAAAATTTAAATCAATACGTAAATGTATACATTAATTAATATTCGAAGCACATAAGCGAACAGATGACATGATTAGTTTTTTAAAGAAGTGCTAAAAAAAAAATAAATAAAATAAAATTAAATAAATATTTGAAATAAAAAAATAATTAAGAAAAAATTATTATGTATTATGTACATAATGTGTCTGGAAAGAAAAATTTTTCAATCTGTTCCAATATATAAATATTAGACCCCTTTTATTTAATATGCTTTTATACTTAAAAAATTAATTAAAACTTAGTATGCCTTTTGCACTTCATAAGTTAATTAATAATATTTTTAAAAGTATTTAAATAGTATAACACAATAGATCAACACCACTAATGGCGCTTAATTATTAAGTTAATTAAGTTAATTAATAATATTTTTAAAAGTATTTAAATAGTATAACACAATAGATCAACATCACTAATGGCGCTTTTTATTGCTAAATCTGGATTTAATATAGATTTACTTTGGATTTTTCAAATTTTGTTGCCCAATCGAACATTTTTAGAGTAATCTTACTTTTCTGTAGTAGTGTTAGTAGACATTTATATTTTTCACAAATACATATATTGAAACAAATCACAGTTTATCTGTCAAATCATATTAAACAGCTGTTAATTTCAGGGTAATTCTGCTATTCTGGATAATATCTAGAGTGTTATAAATTAAGCTCGAGTGTTATACATTTTGCTCCAGATTCACCAATAGAAAATGAAAATTGCACTAAAAGTGCATTAAAAAAACATCTCGATTGAAAAGAGTACCTTTGATTTACCAATCGAAAACACCATAAGGGAATTCTTAGAATCATCATGATAACCTATAATTTAACATAAATACAAAGATATATCTTATAGTTACAAAAAACTCAGAAATAGTCGAAGTCAAATGAAAGTGAACTAAGGATAAGTTTAATAAATAATTCAACTTATAATATAGTATACTAGAGATGTCCAGTGTTGTAATAAAAGAAATGTAAATAGTTGTCTTTATGATGTACTGCTCTGATTTTGGCTAAGCTTTAATGTCCTTTTAATACAATAAATAAATAATTATTAGAATTCAACTACATATTACTCAAACATACATACTATCTTATCACCCAATTTAATAAAAGCTGTTGAGCATATTTTTGTATTGATTTTAGATGAAAATACTATCTTATCATTTATTTTTATAGAATATAGTTAGCACATTTAACTTTTTTCTTGTACATAGATGCCTCAAATGCCTCAAAGCATCGAAAGTCTAAATCAGTGTCGTCATGTCCGTACGGAAAGTTAGTCCTGAAACTAAAGTAAAGTATTACGTCAGAAATGGGCACCGAACTATGTCTCTACCGATCTGTAGCTTTAAGCAGGTCAAACTAGAGCAACAGAAGAAATTTAGAAACGCAAATGAGTCTAGATATAGTACGCCTATAGAAAACCGGAACAACAATATTATTTGACAGGCACTGAAATAAAATCTTTAGGTAAAATTTATCATTAATACTTTGTTCGATAACCTCGATAAAATTTAGAAGTTAAAAGAGATTATAATTTCTATTAATTAAATTTTTGTCGACTTTAGTTTAAAACTAATTAGGTTAATCATGCTATCGTATAATGGAAAAACTCGGGCTTAAATGCTTGAAATGGTATTTTGTGTGAGGTCTTATAGTTGATCAAGATCTGCAAAGAAAGAGATCTTTAAACTAATTAACCAAGTCTAAAATATAACTTAAAAGCTCTATTTTTATAGTTAAAATAATAAATGTATTACTATCTCTTCTACTTAACCAGGCAACAGCAATGTCTTATTTTAAGTGCTTATGCATCTGCGCTAAAATTTTGTAGGGAATATAGTAATGTCATTAAATCCAAGGTATTATAGGATCTGGAATGACTGATCTGAATGATCTGGAAAACTGTTTTGTATTAGTGAAGCTAGTACCAGCATCTAGTCTTACACATAATATTTTTTATAGATTGCAGAACTGTTTTTAAATTTTTTTGATTTCGAATTTTTAAATTTTTTTTTCAGCTTTATTTTAAAATTATAGAATTCAGGAATATTTATTTTAGGGAACTTCTTCCATAAAAACCATTTTTATTATTGGTTGAAAGATTTTTATTATTAAAATTGTCAGATCTAAAGATCATAAAGCTTTCAATGCGTAAGTCGTACTGATCCTTACTATTAAAATATTCTCAATTTAAAAATATTAAAATATTCATAAATTAATAATTATATAAATTAATATTTCCAAATTAGATATATTAATATTTACTTGTATAAGCAAAGCTTCTCTTTAGTTATGCCCCAATTTTAAGACCAAGTTCAAAAGACAAACAGACATTTCACTGCACTTATTTTGTAAACAATTTTTATTATAATAAAAATATAAATTTCTTTGGAAAAGACACAAAGTTATGAGACCTTATATAAGATATTGTATCTATAATTGCGCAAAGCAACAAAGCGAATACATAGTATTGTATAAAAAATTATAAAAGTAGCTCGGACCAAAAACTTTGTCAGGTACGCAGGTCAAATGCCGTTAATACTCGTAAGCTGAGCTGAGTAACTCAGGCAAATAAAAACGAATTTAATGAGTTGTGGACTCATAAAAGCGGACGGCAGCCAAATCAACATACCAGCATCTCAAACGTTTTTAATTAACTTCAATTTAATTATCTTGAATTAAAAAAAATTGTTTATACTCGCATTATACAAGTTCATATGAATAATTACGTTTTGTATATAAAGCACATAGTCAGTCTGTCTCTCTGCACTTTACACTTACCACACAACGCTTATTACGAGCCGGTTAAAAAGATGTCGTCCACAAGTTTTCAGTTTCATTATTTAGATACATCTTAAATAACAGTCAACTTATTATTGAGTACTCACAAAGAACTGCAGACTTGAAATATAATATAATATCAAAAAATGTTAAAAATGATCCAATAAATGAAACATAAGGATAATAAGGCATATCATTAAGAATCGAGAACAGTGGCGTATATGGATTATATTTTTTCTAGTATTATAATGCTTATTACATATATATATAATTAAAAAAAAAACTTAGAACTACCGCTGTGATGACAACGTTGTGACTTTGGTATGACTAATAAAATTTTCTAGGTATGACGGCGCCATGCTGCAGCAAATGAAACCTATCAACCATATCATTAGTAACGAGTTGAAACTGATTAGTAATTGTTTTATAAATAAAGCCGATTGTACTACATATAACAACACATTCTTAGAAGAAGAGATTTTACTCATACATATGTTCTCGTACAACTCTATTTGAAGGAAGGATTCTTTACTGAAAATGACTGCTTCAATCGTAGCATCATTTTTAGGTTTGCAAATAATTAGTAATTCTTTGAGTTTAATAGCATGTTCACACTGTCTCATTTATACGGTTTTGCTCATAATAACCATTAATGAAAATGATTTTTCATGCAAAGAACTTTCATATAAATGAGCTCATTAACAATAAATCAGCTCATTTAAGACGAAAAATGTTGAATGCAACCCTTAAAAATAAGTTTCCTACAAGGAAAAACACAAAAATTTACTTTTACATATAAAGTAAAATGTAAACAAACAACAGCTGAGCTGCAAACAAACGCACTGAGAAAGTAAATATTTAATAAAATCTTTATTTTTGTTAATTGAATATGTAATTAATATATAAAATGTATATAAATGATTTAATATATCAATTATATGTATAATTTTTTTGTGTAATATATTTTTAAGTGAAGTTTATAAAAGTTCTATGAGCTGCATAAATGAGCTCATTATAATGTGAACGTTTCCTCATTAATATAAAAGAGTAAGTACCTAAATGAGAGAGTGTGAATGTGTTATTAATTTGGAGCATTTGTCCGGTGGGTGTCATTTGTTTCCAAAATTAAAATTTTTCGAAAGAACTCTTCTATGAAGACAGCTTATTACTTTTTTCTCTTTCAAAATAGAAATAACCTCCAAAGTTAAAATTACTTCTGCCAATGAGAAGTGACTTTTTTCGGTTCCACAATAAAAATTACCTGAAAATAAAAATTTTCGAATAGATTAACAACAAGAATAAAATTTCTGAAGAAATATAAAATCTTCCTTCTACTTAAGACACATATTAAATCAAGATCTGAATAATAGTTGGTTAACACTTCATTAAATAGATTATTTATTCCAAGCTTTGTTCATTTTATACCACTTAATCCAGATATTTTACAATTCTGAAAACATTTTATATAAAATGTATTCATTTAAATGGAATAAAATATAATTTTTAATTTCAGGTTTTGCATATTTGTACTCAAGATGGACTTTCCATTTAAATAATTCATTCAAGGTTTCTGACAAATGGATGCGCATTAGAAGATTTGATATCTAAATTCAGTCTCAGATAAAAAATTCAGAAATTAGATTAGATAATATAGAATAGTTTTTTTTAATAAATTTATTTATTTTTAGATTTGAATCAGATTAGTTAAGGAGTTGACGTTAAAATATTATTATATTGTTGCCGTTCAGATTTTTTTCTCATAGATATATAGCATTTTTAGGATAAGTAAAAAATGTTATAATAGCTTGAAAAGAAAATATTATGGCTACATACAATCTCTTTAATAATCTTATAAAGGTTTGAACACAGCAGACTTACTAGAAATGGATGAGTACCTTAAATGTACCATAGAGAAATGCAGTAAAACTGATGATAATACAATTAGACTGAAGCTTGTGCAAGTCCTAAGATTTGTAATGCTGCTTGCTCCGTCCTGAAAAACAAAGAGCGGATTAAAAGAATTATACTTTGCATATCTACAAGAGTTACAATCAGTTGCCCTAAGAATAATCTTCAATCGTAAAAGTATTTAAAAACAGCAGACTAACTAAAGGGATAGTTGAGATAAGTCTCACTGTTAATGGTATTACAGCTAGACCTAGACCTATGTGAGTCCAAGTAGTTTCCAAAATTTCGCACTTTTTTGCTGATATATGTAATGTATGTGTATAATGCTTTATGGGTTAGCCTAAGGCGTTTTTGCACTGCGACCAGCTTGGTCTATTGTGCACCCCTTTGTATGTAGACATTTAGTATTTCAAAGAATTGAACCAGCTCCTTTAGAGTAAGGAGCTGGTTTTTGAAGGTCTTTATCCTCTAGTTGGTATGCAACTAATATTTTGTTTCTTCTGTGGTCTAGTTCACCACAGTTGGTGATCAGATGTTTCATAGACTCTTCTTCATTACATCACAGTGTTTATTGCAGGCGGCGTAACCTTCTGCTGATATATGTAATTTCAATAACATAGTAACAGTAATACTAGAATAACAACTTTGGAATATAAGCAAGTGAGTTAAGGGGTATTATACAAAACCAAAGAAAACATTATTTTTTTTTTATTCGAACGCATGAATGAATGAATTTTATTTGTTTTTTAATTTAAAAACATGCAGTATTTAATATAATTAAATTTATTATAATTATTTTTAGGTATTAGTTTTTATATAGCAAAATATTGTCACGTTCAATGAAGTAAGTTTTAACCAATAATAAAAGTTTTTACATAAATTAATTTACTTTTAAGGGAAAACACGTACTTCACTAAATTTAGCAAAAATAAATAATATTATTTACCTTTTTTTTGCTCTCTATGTGCGTTACAATTTAGCAGGTCAACAATATCATATTTGATTTCTTAATTACTAAGACAAATATTGAGGTATTTGAATATTAAACAAACTGATCGTAAGCTAATATAATAACGAATATTTTTAAACATTTCATATTTTAGTTTTAATTTCTCACCGATTTTGCTAAACTTCATGAATAGAAATAAAGAAATTTAATTTCGTTTGAATTATAATTAAATTTAACCAAGTTCTGTCTATTTAAGTTTAGAATGATCTAATTCAATTAACGGGTCCCTTGCAATTTGGCATAAACAAATTCAAGGTTCTCTTATAGTTTAGCTGGTCTTATATGATAATGGCACAAAGAGGGCAGAGTGCTGAAAGAGAGATCAATTAAATAACTGAGAATCTCGAATGAAAAGAAAAAAAAATCAATTTCTATCTGAGATAAACTAAGGGCGTTATATATACTATTATAGTTTAAAACATTTCTAAGTACTATAAAAATGATCGAATTTTCGTTAAACATTTTTATGTCTGTTCTACTTCTACAATAGATATACCTCCAGCTCAAAAAGTACCCCGATTAAAACACAAATTCAAATTTTATTCCAAATTTATTTCCTTCAAAATATGCTCCTTCTGAAGCGATACACATATGTCAACGCTTAACCCAAACTTCCATTACACTTTTCGGCTTTTAGTTCCTTCGGCGAATTCTCTTTTACAGATTCAATCGACTGAAAACGCTTACCACGAAGGGGCAATTTGAGTTTCGGGAACAGAAAAAGTCGCACGGCGCCAGATCTGGCGAATATGGTGCCTGAGCGATGACAGTGGTGCCGTGTTTGGTCAAAAAATCGCGTACAACAAGAATTTCCTTGAGGTATTCTCAAGGAAAGTATTCTCTGTGAGAATACTTGAGGTATTCTCACATTAACTGCTGTAAACAAACTAATTGACAGATGGCGCTAAAATTTGTACCATTTGTGAAATGTCAAGAAAGGGTGTACCAACATAATAAAAAAAAAAAAAAAAAATTCCGATACTTTTTGAGCAGAGCTTCCATAACTCGAAGTCCAATTTTACAAAGAAAAGATTCGACTTATGGAGACTTCGAGTTAGAGAATTTTTTATTTTTTTTTTTTTTGAAAGAAACTAGAATTACAATCATTATTATTTTATTCATTATTTATTTGCAACCAAATAAAGCACAGGGGTTATAGTGAAGTAAAATATTCAGAAATTAGTGTTTGGGACTTTAATATTTTCTTATTTTTAATAAAAAGAGATTCCACTTTATTCATCATTCATATTGATCATCAGTTGTACTATCATTCATTTTCAAATATAAATTCAGAATATTGAATGAGTCTTCTACTTCATTCTTGGAAGCCTCATGAACAATTACATCCACCGAACCCTCATCATCACATTCCGTTGCGCTTAGAATTGGATCCAGTAATTTAGAGCTAAAGTCTCAATAATATCGTCAAATTTCATTGTCAAGCTCAATATAATCGTTAAGATTAGTATTGGAAGTTATTTTATTTATTTTAAACCAGGCTGCCAGTGACTAGCATTTGCACAAAGAAGCAACATAAAAAGAAAAAAATTAAACATTTGGTTTGGAAAAAGAGACTTCCCCTAACAGCAAAATGCATTTATACTTAAAACAAAAATTTGATTTATAGAAGGCATTTTCCCATATTCCTATCGGCACGGAAGAAAATTATTTTTCGAGTTACAGAGAAATTCGAGTTATAGAAGTTCGAGTTATGGAAGCAGAATTGTATGTAATTTGCTCTCTAAAACCTTGGTGCACTGTTTTTGGTTCGAGTTATAGAAAATTCGAGTTATAGAAGTTCGATTTATGGAAGTTTGACTGTAGTAGTTTTCTTTTTCAGTACCGCAATTTCATCAGAATTTATCCATATAGAGTTTAAACTCTCTTTATGAAAACAGAGTTTTTCCTTCACCAGTTATTTTCACTGAAAAAGGGTGTTCGCCTATTAAGCAAAGTGAATATATATTTTTTTTGTATTCTTGTTTATACTTTTTTATATTTTTTCTATATAATGCGAAAATGACCAGTAATATTTTTTCAATTATTTCCATTGGTTTAGTTATACAATAAAAATGTAAGCTCCAAGTTCTGAATTATTACCAATATAATTTTATTCTAATAATTTTTTGAACTTTTAATAAGATTTTTATTGACAGATCAAAAACATGTCTCGGAAATAACATTTCTTGATTCTGTCGATTTTATGGTCGATTAATACATTAAATTAGCCAACAAGTTGGGTCAACTTCTTAAACTTAATAACTAACAACAGATTTTGGGCTGCTGATCTCAAACAAAAAATTATTAATTTACATGTTATTTATAATTTCGAATTTAACTACCAATTTTTTAGATTAGTCTGGGGTATAAAATATTCACAGTTTTATTATTATTATTGTGAAAAGGGGTAGAGCACTGTGCCCTCAAAGATCTATTGTAGCGCTTAGTCGGATCGGAGTGTTTCTCCAAATTCAATATATTTGATGAAAGACATCTTTTCTTGGCTTTAATTCTTATGATTCATGAAATACTCTCCAAGGTGTTTCTTCCGACATCAGTGCCAGGCACTCAGCAAGCACATGGTATGCAGTTTCTCTTTCTTCTCTTCAATAATAGGTCGATATACTTATTCTTTTACCGTAAACAAATGGGGCGTTTTATTGGATAATTTATTATCATCACATTTTTCGGATTTAATAAAAATTAGTCTATTGAAACTACCACCGGCATTGTAAATATCATTTGGATTCAAGACAATCACCATTCCTTTCACGATTTCTAAAAATTATTTGACATCTTTGAATTGGATAGTTGTTACTGCAATTTTTAAAATTCTAAGTACACTGGGTGAGTGGCTAGAAAGAGCAGCTCAGACTGATTTGGATAATACAATGCCGTATCGGTCAAAAGCCAGAACTAGGGAGCTACTTATGCTAAACAGAAGTGGCATTCGACTTATTACTGGTTTCTCACTGGGCATTACGGAATTAAAAAGCATCTATCGAACCTAGGTATTACTAGAAACGATACCTGCAGACTTTGTTGCGGAGAAGAGGAAACAACAGAACAAATTCTGTATCTTATCCACTAATGCTTATGCTTATCCACTAATACCGGTATTAGGCAACATCTCTCCAAAGGTCATAATGGCATTTTTAACTAATACTTGTCTATAAAACTGAAATGGAAGCTGAAGTAATCCTCAAAGGATGCAGTGACGTGGTGACAAGTTCCTAAATCATCTTAAAATCTAACCTAATCTAATCTAAGTACACTGAATATCACTTTAAGAATTATATATTTAAATATAGTTTACAAATTATATAGTCAAAATAAACTTTTTATTACTATTCTTCATCATCATAAGATATTTTTTGACAAATGTATATATGCATTTTAGTATGTACTCACAACTACCGTAATTTTTTTTTAGTGTGGACGGTCCATGATGTTTGGTCGCTTTATAATCTATGGATGCTCTATAATGTATTGATGTTCCACAATGTATAGATGCTCCATATTGTGTGTATGCTATATAATGTATAAATGCTTCATAATGTATGAATGAACTATAATGAACCATAAATGCTTCATAATGTATGAATGAACCATAATGTATCAATACTCTATAATGTATGGACACTTCATAATTTATTCTAGTTTCTCTATATGCGAAAACTGACAGGCTGCCCTACTTAGCACTATATAATCTCAGAGTAATCACAAATTAGTCAGTGAGATGGGTGGGACTCTGCAGAAACCCCCTAGCTATCAAAGAGTAAAAGTGCCTAGATGCACTAACTCAACATTAAACATTAGACTAGTTACTGAATAAATTTTTAAAGCTATATGACTTTTAATGTGCAATGAACTTTTAATTTGATAGTGCACATTATTTTAACTATGATTTTTTCAAACTTAGTTGTGGTAGGTTAAGATTTCACATATATATAAAAATGTACCAAATTATCCAGACCTGAGAAAATGAAAAATCTATGAAGTATCCAAAAGCATATCAAGTAACTAACACTCATATATTTTGTTTATATATCAATATGTTATAAATATTTGTATATTATTATTACAGGTATTTATATCAGAGTTTAGACGATAATTTATCCCCAGTAATGTGGACGATGATAACCACCATATCCACCGTATCCGCCATATCCACCATAACCTCCATAACCGTAACCACCATATCCACCATAACCATAACCCCAACGTCTGCCATATCCACCATAACCCCTACCGTAACCACCATAGCCGCCATAGTAAGCAGGATAATAACCAAAACCAAATGTTTCTGAACCTTTTAGATCTTCTGCGTCACTAGATTCTAAACTTAAATCATCTTGCTATAAAAAGAAGGAAATAAGAAATAATAAATTGTTAAAAACTGGTATTTTAAAAACTGGTATCATTAGAAAATGAAATTTCGAATGAAAATACTTTTAATTTTTTATTGTATGATCACTTAAGTATGATATTAAAGATATTTGGATAAAAATAAATGAAAGTAAGTGTATAATATTTCTTTTTCGATACCAAGTACTTTTGTACTTTTTTTTCAAATACTGTACAAGTACCGAAATTTGCGAACACAAAGATAATCCTTTTATTTTGAATTTTATATGTTCAAGTACATAACAAAATATTCAGAACTATGACTACAACATGACTGCAGCCTATGTCGAAAAGTAGATAACTGCACTTTATCTTAATAAATGGAGATAGATGAGCACTTGCTCACTAAGCGTACTAAGCTGGGTAACCTTATTGATTACGGGACAAACTTCAAGTGTTACCTCAAAAAGATGACTCTTGCTGAGGAAGGAATTTGCAGTCTATGTCTACAAGACAGCAGTGCATATTTTGTGCCAATGTCCGGCACTGGCAAGGAGAAGGAAGACTGTCTTGGGAAACCATTGGGTTGGTGAGGACTTGGCAGGCAACCTCAAGCTAAATGAGCTGCTTGCATTAACAAGTGATGTAGTTATGGGAACGGAAGCCACTCTAGTTTTAACTCAATAACGACATCCGAGAATCGAAGGACGAAAAAGGACCCAAGTCGTTTCGTGGCCTACTTTGGGTAATCCATCAATTCAGTGGGGCCATTTGTTGGACGGTGCGTTTTTCCAATGTTTTACAATATATATGTTTAAGAATCGATACGTATATATATATATATACCGTGTATGAATTCAATCCACACTTAATGAAAGAAAGAAGGAAAGAAAGAGATCAAAGATTCTATGTCACCTTGTTTTAATCAAAAAACGAAAAATGAATTATATTACTATTATTAATATATTATTATTATTTTTGTATATTTTTTTACCTCAGGACAAAATTAAAAAAAACATTACCATACACTCTTTTTTAATGAAAGAAATTTGGAAATGGATAATAAAGTCCTATATATCGACTTAAGTTTTCATTCATGATTTTTAACTGTTGGTAAATAATGAATCGTAATAAAATCCACATAAAAATTAAATACGCCTCAGTCAAAAAATTCTCTTTTATTCAACAAAGAAGATTTTTAAAATTTGGTTTGTTTGAGGTTCGACTATCTGTTAATTACAATTAATTACTATTACCATTTACTACTATTGTATATTTAATAATAAATATATTAATATTATACTATATATTTATAATGTATTGCAATTTTAATTTATTTTTCATCTATAAACTTTTTCACCACATCATACCATAACTAAGATACTCACCTTACTTTCGGCGGATAAGTCAGTTGCTGGCAATGCCTTTACATTAAACACACAGATCCCCAAAATGCACAGAATTGTAAAAATCTGTAATAATTAATAATATTTTATTGAATTAATTCCAATATTTTCATATCTAAAATATCAATTATTCATACTTTCATCATATTTGATGATTGTCAAATTCTTCACTTTATTTGTTTACAAAATTAACACAATCGGTTGAGAAAATTAGCACTTCTCCGTATAGAATCGCAGAAACGGCTTAAGTACGTAGGAATACAGATCAGAACTGATCTAAATCGCACTTGACCAAATCTTTTATAGCAAAATTTAATGATGAAATACTTGATTTGTTTATTGGTCGTTAACGATGATTGCAGACAATTTCATATCATATGAGGATCAGATAACTAAACAATCCGACAGACATATTGTACGGAGGGCGGACAGTCTTTTGACTCATCTGTTTTCGTCATTTGATGCTTCAGCAGAATTTAATTTCCATACGCGTAGTTTACACGTAGAATAGTAAACTTGGTATATTTTTAACGAGGGGATTTTTTATGGACTTTTCTGCTGCTCTTCTGTTCTTGAAGATTGTCAATCTTAACTTATTTATATTAAACAGTAAGTGTGAAATGTTGCATGTGGTTGCATATATTGCGCTACAGTCCTATTGACTTAACTTATTCCTAAACAATTTATTTTAATCAGCAAAATATTTCGCAGTTTGCATTTTAATTAATTTATTATGGGTCAATGTCGTTCTTCGCAAACAAAGACATTTTGAACAAGACAAAATCTTTAGGGTCACGTTCCATAGGGATATTTCGATAGGATATTAAATATCACTAAGGAAGGAACTTTTTAAGCATTGATGTTTACTATTAAGTGCGAAAATAATTCGTTTTGTAGATTTCAATAGATATTCTTATTGGAGATTATTATTATTTTTATAAGAGGATAGAGGACTTTGACTTCAAGCTCAATTGTGGCTAACATATAATAAAAAAATGTTGAGTTTTTTCTCTGCGTTATAAAATGTTTCCAAGTTATTATTGGGTAATTATTAAATTTTTTAAACAAAAAATATAAATATTGCTTTTACTTTTTTCTATTTATATATAAATCCAGTTATTGAAGATAAAAATTAGGAAAAAAATTTAAAATATACATTTCGTCACTTTACTGCAGGAGTTATAGTACAATCTCTATATAGTTTTGAACCATTACATGATCACAGTCCATGCCATTAAGTTATGACGAATTTCAAAACAGGCATGTAGAAAACAGAGAATCTTCCATTTGACTTTTAAGCAAATAAGACCTACGAACTGGAAGTAAAGGACATTATCATAGTGTTTTTAATAGCCACACTCGCTGATTAATAGTATGTACCTCCATGTACCTCCATGAGATCAGGTATCAACCATAATCACCATAACGCTACCTGAAAGAGCCAACTTAAATATCCAAGAAGGCGAAACGTTGCGAACATTTTAGCATTCCAGCATTCTGTGGAACTTAATTTTTATCTATGGCCCATTTGATAAGAGATACCCAATTACTACCAAGTTATACTTAAAATAAGTATAAGGTTATTTTTGTCAGCATTTTTAATAGGCAACTTTTACCTCGGAAATATTCTTACCCCTATTCGGAAGAGCAGGAATCAAAAGACGATATTTCGTTTGTCAAATGCTTTAGGTTGGTTAAAGTTAGCTTACAAGACTCTCTTCAAGAGTAGTACCATTGAACTTATATGTCGCAGAATATCACTGTTTTTTTTTAATAATTTAATAATAACTATAATAATTACAATATAACAATAATATGATAAACGCGAAAAATAAGGAAATCTCAGAGAAAATACAACTTATTCTGTTAGAATTATAATATGTAATTATAGATACTATTAAAATTGTTGAATAATTATACGATCAGTTCAATACTATGTTTATATTTACAATTATCGAACCATATTAGCACATTTTATTGTGTGTAGTTTGTGTGGATGTTCCATGAGAAATGGAATATTTATCTGTAAATCTTTTTATAGTGTAAACGTGCTTGGAGTGGCGTTGCTTCTCAATGAAAGTATCATATATAACACGATTTATATTAAAAATTACCTTGGAATCATTGCATGAAATAACCTTACTGAATAACTTTAAATATTCAATTTATAAAGCATACTTCGAATGTCGTCACTATCTTAGCCAACCCAATCCCATTATCATAAATAAAAAATGGTCAGTTTTCTAGGCAAAATCAGTGAGACCATCTGATTTCAACACACTCAACATAGCATATAACAGTTCGAAATTTATTACAGAATACGTAAACCTTTGAAATTCTCAAAAATAATAAATCTAAATTACTTTAATTTTAAAATTGATTTTAATAATTGTAATTACGTTAAATTACCAATTGGTAGATAACCGATACCCATTGCGAAATATATCCGAAATTATTATAAATGACTTTGTCGTTATGAAAATGTATTAATAAAGTTTTTAACAATGTATGAATATATTAAAGAAAGCTTAGTTTTTTGTAGCATTTTTACCACATATGATTTTATATAATATTAGCTTTTTTTGTTTTTTTATAATATTAGGCTTAGGATATAGGTATAATATATTCTTATATTTTTATAATATATGATAATTTTCTTATTTGCCAAATAAATATAAGCGAATAAATATCAACACTTTTAAATTACATATCACTAAAAAAAATATTCACCACTGTAATTAAAAATTAAAAAATTATTTCACCTAAATTGTTTCTTATATTACTAAATAAATCGTTAAAACGTTTCGCTCATTCTGATATATATGTACTTATAATGTCAGTTTTCTTAACAATCCATATTAAGAATTTCGATGAAGTTAAAAATGACCGTTATTCTTCAAATAGCAGTTGTGATCATCAAATAACAGTTCTTATTTTTAATGTCTTATTTAATAATATTGATTCTGACACCTCAACGGTTACATTTGCTTTCTTTAACTATGAGAAAAATAATAAATAAAAAATTTACATAACACTACTAAGTAAATTATAATAACAATAATTAAATTCATTTTTTATAATGTATAATTACGAAGGAGGAAGTCATGTTATGAATATATATTATTTGAAGAGAACGTAAAAAAAATTGTATACATAATTCCAAGCTTCAATTAATTATTATTAAAATATTTAATTATTATAATGTTTAATAAAAAAAAATATTTACAGAATTTTAAATATTTGTACTTAACACACCAATTGAATAAAATATTAGTTTTGATGTGGAGTATCACATCTCTTTTGCTTTTCGTTTAGCGCTCATAGCAGCGCCAAATCACTGTAGCGGCAAATATACAGAAGTAGACAAAGCATAATAAGTTTTCAATTTTGTCGCTTGGGCTCTTATTAAATTTTGGTTAGAGGCAAAAAAAATAATAATTTAAAATAATTAAATCAATTATTTAGTTATTATTAATAATAAATAAAACAAATAAAAATAATTTAATAAAATTATATTTATAAATATTAAATATACTATATATAAACCAAATAATGAAATTATTAAGTTATTAGTTATAAATAACTGTAATATTATAACTAATTATAATTAAATTATTTAATTACGATGATGTAAAAATACTTTGTAAAATCATATTTAATTTTAAAAAAATAAGTTTGTGTATTATTTAAAAAACACGATAATTATAGTATCGTAGTACTTTTATATATCCGTCCATCTCTATATCTCTATATAAGTTGCCTTTCAAAATATGCCATACAACGTTGACTATAGTTAATAATCTTATGGATTGTAGCCTTTGTTTGACTAGAATATTAGACTTGCTATTCATCAGTATTGGGTTCAATGATTGCACTCGACATCCGTAGTGTGTTTTGAAGATTCTCATCTTAGAAACATCAGGGTTCGCATCACTCTTATAAGTTTTGGCAATTATTAATATTATAACAGAATAACAAAAATTTTATCTATTTTTGTTGAAAATATTATATACATGTTATATTAATAAATACATATCACTTTATCTGGATGAGGATTTATTTTAGACCAGTTTTCCGCTTTTCTTATATGTTTGTATTTTTAAAGATAACAGACGACTTTAACTAAAATTAATTTATTTCATAGTTTGATTTATGATTTCAACACTCTTCCAAATTTATAATCTTATGGAATATCCACTGAAAATATGTGGTTGGATGTTTTCTTCAAATATTTCCGTTTATATTTTTAGTTTGGTACTTCGAGAGACTGGTTTCGAGTCAGTTGTGTGTAAAAATGAAACTGAAAGTTGGCTGAAGTACAAATGTGAGAAGCTGTAAACAAGAGACGTGACTTATAAAGCGTCCAACAAAATAAAATTAAATAATTTGGGAAGAGAAAAATAAAAAAAATAATAAATCGATGAAGACAGATATTATATATTATTATTCATAGGGCATACTTCAAGTATTTCTTTAAAATATATGTGTTTCTTTTATTTTTAATTTTTGTTTAAAATAGTTAACATAAATTATTTTGATTAAATATTATATATTTAATTTAACATTTAATATTTATTTATATAGATATAACAATTAATAACTAAAATAAAAACAAATTATTTATATATACTTAAATTAACATATATCTGTCAACCAAAGATTCCTTCACTTATTAAAGAGTCCCAGTTTAACTCTCCACATTATTCCTAATAATATCTATCATCGACTAACTTTAAGAGTTGTATTTACATAATAAATGGATACTCTCAACTTAAATATATTATCGAAATGTTAAATAATTTTAATCTTATCGACGGATGTATTTGTTTATAGATGGTCCAACTCTTTATATCTATTTTAAAAAATGCTTAAACAGTCTGTTTACATTGAAACGCAGAAACAAAAGCAACAGATTACTTGCTATAAAAAGTTTTAAGGAATTTAAAACAACCTGTCAATCAAAAATAAGGATGTCCGCATTATCGGTGGAAGGTGACTAGGTGAGCAACGATTTAGTGGCGCTCGGTACTATCAACTGGCGACAGCAAGCAACTAATCGGGTTGGCTGGCGGAGGTTACTTGATGCGGTCAAGAACAACTCACGTTTGTAATGGCGTAATAAGTACCATAAGTAAGTAACATAAGTAATCGATCAAATTCCATGTTTAAGAACGGTGAATGGGAAGTGGTCAAGGGTTGAATAACATTGAACTATCAAACAAATTTATTAGGTTCCAACATACGATTCATCAAACATGATTTCTATTTATGGAGCGCC